CCTGCCTAGAATCCCCCAGTGAGGGGCTGGGGGTGTGGCTCAGTGGTTGAAGCCCTGCCTAGAATCCCCCAGTGAGGGGCTATGGAAATGGCTGGGAGCGAAGCCCCTGCCTAGAATCCCTCAGAGAGCAGTTAGGGGTTTTAACTCAGTGGTAGAACACTGGGCTACAGACCACCAGTCTAGAGACAGCCAGCCACATGTTTAAGGCCATGCAGCTCAGAAATAGCAGAGCTGAGATATGACCCCAAATCACTGGGTTCAGAGTCCTTGTTATTAACCCCTGTGTCGTGATGCTTAAGTGAGAGTTGTTTGGGAAATGAGTAAGTTATGAGCTCATGTAGCCTGTATGCATAGATATGGCACCAAGTGCATAGAGGTTTGTGTGCATGCTCTCTTTCTCTTGATAGATACTTGGGTGTCTACAGGTACTTCTCTCTGTCTATGTGTACTGAGTGTATGCCTGCATCACTAAGTACACCATGTCTTTTAAGGGGATAAAGGTAGCTGGCTTAAATTGATACATCTCAGCCGGGCGGTGGTGGTGCACACCTTTAATCCCAGCACTTGGGAGGCAGAGGCAGGTGGATTTCTGTGTTCGAGGCCAGCCTGGTCTACAGAGTGAGTTCCAGGACAGCCAGGACTACACAGAGAAACCCTGTCTCAAAACAAAACAAAACAAAACAAAAATTGATACATCTCCAGGCTAGGTTTAGTGAAGGTAAAGAGTCAAACTTCTCCAAGAGCTGCTGGGAGTACCAGACCCACCTGCATTCTGTCCTATAGGATGCTTATGCTAATGAGATGCAAATGAATTCGTTTCTCAACCTCAGACCCACTCCCCCCAAAGCCAATTTACCCAGGCAGCATTTGAGTTGACTCCAGAGACTGTGGGCTGGGAGGTGCGGGGGACAGAAGAAAGATGTATTTATAAACCTGTTCCCTTGAGGATGGGATGTCTATGAATAGACACTTCTCAAATAAATGCTTATTCATAGAAATATAGCTATGAATTCTTCATATTTGGAAAAGCGATGAAGAATCTGTTAAATTTAGATTTTTGGAGACATAGTCTTCTATAGAGCAGACGAACATTAAATTCACTATGTAGCTGAGATTCTGACCCTCCTGCCTCTGCCTCCCAAGTCTTGGGATTACAGGCAGTGGCAACAAGTTCTGTTTTGTTTGGTCTTGTTGAGACAGGGTCTCCTAGTGGGAAGCTCAAGATAGCCTCTTACTCTCAAACTCCCTGCCTCAGCCTCCCAAGAATTGGAATGTATGTTGGCTCCACTGCCCCAGGCTTTTAGTTTCATTTCAACACCATTACAGGAGCTAGGGACATAGCTCAGTGGAGGAGAGTTTGCCTAGAATGCCCGAGGCCCTAGGTTCAATTCCCAGCACAGTAAACAAACAAACAAACTAATCAGTCAATCTATCAATGGCATTACAGGTTGAGTCTCCCTTATCTTAAATGTTTGGGACCAAAAGCATTTCTGAAGGGCTGGGGATGTAGCTCAAAACCTGCGACTCCATCCTCAGACCCCATAAACTGAGCATGGTGGTATATGCCTATCATCCCAGCACTCAGAAGAATCAGAAGATCAGGGTCATTCATGGCTACGTAATGAGTCTGAGGCCACCTGGGCTATGTAAGACTGACTCATCTCAAAACAAAATAAATCCTGGTGAAAAAGCAGTGTGGGGAATTATTTTCTGGCAATTTCCCTTCAGCTCTTAGGTGAAATGGCCTCTGTAGGAAGACATTGGAAGCAGCTGCCTGGGGGCAGGTGGTGAGCATGGACCCTCTCTGACTCCCACTCTTCTTTCTGCCTTGCCCCTCCCCTCAGCCGTGTAGAAGAGACCGGAGTGGTGCTGTCCCTGGAACAAACAGAGCAACACACTCGAAGACCCCCTCAGCTGGGTACCTCCTCACAGAAGGGTATCCCTGGTAACAGTCTAGGTATGGATCAAGGCCATTGTGTCCTCAGGACACTAAGAAGAAAAGGTCAGATGCATTTACATGGGCTCGCCAGGCCCTGTGAACCTGTCTGCTGCCTCTCTCCACTTGTCACTCAGCATCCAAACCACGCTGGCTTCCTCTCAGCACTCCCAGTATGCCATACTCCTGCCTTCCACATGGTGGCCCTCTGCTTACAGTGTGTTTCCCTCCGGTCTCTCTCCCCTTATGGCCATGAGTAGGATGCCTGCTTGAGGTTTTTGTTGCCTTCTCCTCTTCCCACTGTGGTTCCCTGGAACTCACAATTCCCTACTCCTTGGGAGTGGGAAGGGATGCGGAGAAGGGGGTGCATCAGGCTAGTCTCAACACACAGGAGCTGATTGGCCACACACTAAAGTTACTGGGCCTTTCCCCTAGGATCCTCCAGGGCCCCACAGCAATCTTCCTGTGAAATGGCCCAGAGTGAGGCCCTTTTCCTACTCCTCTCCAGCAGCAAACACAGTGGCCATCCAGATGTGCTACTGAAAATGTCACAGTCATCCTCTGGGCTTAGCACAGCTGAGCAGGAGCTGGCCTTCAGCCTTGAGTAAGTGTGTTCTGTTCACCCTGCAGACCCTCCTGCTCCACGGATCCTGGCCTTCCTGCACCCTCCAGCCCTGAGTGAGGCCTCTCTAGCTGCTGATCCACGCCGTTTCTGTAGTCCAGACTTGCGCCGTCTCATGGCACCCATCCTGGATGGACCTCCCACAGCTACCAGCCCCAGCACCCCACAAGCTACACGGAGACCCCAAAGTCCTCTACCGGTAAACAGTGTCTCCTGTCTGAGCACATAGAACCATGCTGCTTGGGGCCTCTAGTTTGAGCCTGGCTGTTCTCTGTGGTCAATTTCTCCACTTTAGGGATGAGATGGGGTTTCTCTAAGACATAGGTTACAAGATAGGTATGGTGACACATACTGTTGATCCCAGTACTTGGGAAGCTGAGGCAGGAGAACTGAGTTTAAGGCCAACCTAAACTACACAGTAAAACTTTGTCTCAAAAATCAAAGAGCCAGGCATGGAGGTGCACACCTACAATACCAGCATTTGGGAGGCTGAAGCAGGAAGAGTTTAAGGCCAGCCTTAGCTATATAGTGAGTTCCAGAGCAGCCTGGAATGAGACCCTCTTCTATTTTCATTTCTATTGCTGTGACAAACTATCCTGACAAAGGGGGCTAGAGAGATTGCTCAGTGGTTGAGAGTGCTTGCTGTTGCAGAGAACCAGAGTTTGGTTCCCAGCAGCCACCCTGGATGGCTCACAATCACCTGTAATTTCAGTCCCAGAAGATCCAACAGCATCCTCTTCTGGACTCTGTGGGTACCTGCACTCATGCACATCAGACACACAAACACACACACATTCACTCAAAGAAGCAACATTGGAGGAAAGGGGTTTATTTTGATTTGCAATTCATGACAGGGTTATCATGACAGGGAAGACACAATGGCAAGAGCTTGAGACAACAGGTCATATCACACCCATAGTCAGGGGCAGAGGGAAATGGATGAACGTGTGCTCTCTGGTGCTCAACATTATTTCTCCATTATGAAATTCAGGACGCCTGACTAGGGAATGGTGTCACCCACAGTGGGCTGTCTTCTCACATCAGTTAAGGTTAAGTTTTTGTGTATGTTTTGTCTGCATGTATGTATGTGCACCACATATGTGCCTAGTTCCTGTGGCAGTCAGAAGAGGGTATCAGATAACCCCAAAACTGGAGTTATGGATGTTTTTTGAGTCACCATACGGGTGCTCGGAATCCAACCTGAATTCTCTGGGAAAGCAACAAATTTTCTTAACTACCAAGCAATCTCTCCAGGCCCTGCCTCGACGAACTTCATTAAGACTATAACCCACAGACATCCACAAGCCAACTCAGCATAGACAATCCCTTTGCCTAGGAGATTCTAGATGTGGCAAGCTGATAGTTAAAGCTAACCATCCCAGACAGACCCTGCCTTAAAATAATAAGTCAGTAAATGAAGCCAAGAATGAAGGCACACATCTGTAATCTCAGAATTTGGGAACTGAAACAGGAAGATCCAAAGTGCTAAGTCATCCTCAGGTACATTTGGGAATTCAGGGCTATCTATCTTAGACTGCATGAGACAATGTCTCAAAACAAAAACAAGCAAGCAAACAAACAAAACCACCTCCATTTGCATTGCTGTTCGACGCCATACAAGCTGCAGCCTGAGACCCCTACCTCTGCCCAGAACTGTTACTGTCAGAACTCCTCAGACTCGGTCTCCCATGTCTCTGCTTTCTTCCCCTCCAGGCTGATCTCCCAGATCAGTTGGCTGTGGGCTTGGAGAATGCACACAAACTCTCCACTGCCCGGAAAAACAAGACCGTGGAGACAAATCTAGATACAGCTCAGGTGAGGACTGGCATGAAGGGGTAAGCTTATCTGCCTTTATAGAAGGGTGATGGGATGAATGGATGTGTGGACAGATGGAAACATGGATGGGTGGATGGATGTTTGTGGGGATAGATGCATAGATAGATAGATAGATAGATAGATAGATGCATAGATAGATAGATAGATGACAGATAGATTATAGATAGATGATTGATAGATGACAGATTAGATAGATAGAATTGATAAATGATAGATTATAGATAGATAATAGGTAGATTGATTAATAGATGGAATAAGAGATAGATGATAGATTATAGATAGATATGATGGGTAGATAGTTGACAGATAAGTTATAGATAGATGATAGATAGATTGGCAGATAGAAGATATAAATAGACTATAGTTAGATGATAGATAGATAGATAGATAGATAGATAGATAAGATGACAGATTGGTAGGTAGAAGATAGAGATAGATAGATAATAGATGACAGACTATAGATTGATAGTGGATACATACATACATATGTATATGCATACATAGTAGACCATTGTTTCATGAAAGAGAAGACAGAAGAGTAGAGAGGGAAACAGAAAGAAATATAGAGACAATGATAGACCATCAAGGCAAGAGAAAGAGGCGGGGCAGAGACACAGAAACAAGCACCAAGAGAGACACAAAGGCAAAGGCAGACGGTGACACAGAAGGAGAGGGAGACAGAGAAACCAAGAAGGGGAAAGATGGATTGAGATGAAGAGAGGGACAGACAGGAGGACAGAAAGACGGACAGATTGGTTAAGAAGAGATAGAGATGAAGGGGAGAGAGGCACACATAGAAAGAGGAGCGATAGACAGAGAGTGAAAGACAAAGAAATAGTTACAGACACAAGGAGAGAAAGACAAAGAAATAGTTACAGAGACAAGGAGAGAAAGACAAAGAAATAGTTACAGACACAAGGAGAGAAAGAGACTAAGAAGGAAGAGATAAAGCCACAGGCAGAGCTAGATACACGTGGTCAAAACCACAAAGACACCAAAAGAAACACTCAGAGACAAACGGGCACCAATGACACTGTCACAGTTATCATGCCTTATGGCTAAATTCGAAAGACATGCAGAATCATGTCCTTTTACACCCTGGCCACTTGATCCTGTGGAAGAGGACTGCACCCAAGGATAATCTTTAGAGTACCTTGGGAACTGACTACCATGGTCTTTGTACCCATTTGAGAGACAAGGAAAAGCTTCACTCTTCAGGCAAACACCTCAGAGGAGTTAGTACCCAGAACCCAGCCTAGGGCCCCCTAACCCATGGGTCCTGCTGTAAACCCCCTCCTGCCCCTTACAGGACTCTGACTCTCTGGACTTGGAGATGCTGGCTCCCTACATCTCCATGGATGATGACTTCCAGCTCAACTCCAGTGAGCAATTGCCCAAAGTCCACCGCAGACCTCCCGGGGTGGCCCGTAGGCCGCGTGCTCGGAGCTTCCATGGCCTGTCGCCCCCCATCCCTGAGCCCTCCCTGCTGCCCCGTTGGGGAAGTGATCCACGACTGAACTGTTCCAGCCCCTCCAGGGGGGATCCCCCCACAGCCTCCCTGACGCCTGGAACTCGGAAGAGGTGAGCTACAGCGAGAACGGGACATCACTCTCATGCATCAGCCCCATCACTCAGCATGCTTCCTGTCTCCATCTCTCCAGCCAGGCCCTCCATGTGCCCCCTACTGGACCGCCTTCCCAAACCCCACAGCAGCCAGGATCAGTCCTTGTGACACATTTGCATATGACTTAGTGACAGTTTTTATTATAATGAGAAGAAATTGGGGCTGGAAATACAGCTCCCCAGTAGAGAACTTGCCTAGAATCCACCAAGCAGCTACCTAGAATCCCCCAGTGAGGGGCTGGGGGTGTGGCTCAGTGGTAGAGCCCCTGCCTAGAATCCCCCAGTGAGGGGTTGGGGGCATGGCTCAGTGGTAGAGCCCCGCCTAGAATCCCCCAGTGAGGGGCTGGGGGCGTGGC